AAAAACTCCGGTGTCAGCGAACCACTCAATGACAGTAAAGTACACTTAGAATACTAGATTTAGTAGTTGAAGAAGAAGTGCATAAATTCTATTTAAAATGAGAGGAAATCCCTCAATTTATAGAAAACAAAGGATAGTGCAAAAAAGTTCTTATTGTGCCTTACCGAAAAGGTCACAAACCTTTGGAAAAGTCACAATCTTTCAGAAAGGTCGTCACCTTTCATAAAAGTCACAACTTTTCATAAAAGTCACAACTTTTCATAAAAGTCGCAACTTTTCATAAAAGTCGCAACTTTTCATAAAAATCACAACTTTTCATAAAAGTCACAACTCTTCATAAAAGTCGCAACTCTTCATTTTCCATTTACACCTTTTTAAAATCCAACAATCCCCCGCATGAATGGGGAATGACTCGAAGACAAAGAAACGGAAAAGTATGTGTACTTTTACATGCAACAATTAATTGCATCTGGATAAGTAGGTTTCCCTTTGGACTTTCCGTAGTGAACATATGTCGGATATACTCGGTCAATCGGTAGATGTGATATCTTTGAACCATTAAGCTTTATTAACTCATTAACAAGCCTTAATGTTGTATCCTTGTCCCTGAGCATTCTCTTCATCATGAGAATGAATTGAGTTTATTGACAATGTCGAACCGTCATTCACAACTTTGTTTTTCTCCTTGAATCTAGCTCTTGGGATCTCCAGTCTGCTAGATAGAGTTACCGCCACGATGACTTGTCCTAAGCCGTAAATTAGATGATCTTTTAACTTTCTCTCTAGTTAGGCTTTTTTGTAAGTGAATCCGACACAATATCCTTTGACTTTACATAGTCAATTCTGATAATTCCACTAGAGAGAAGTTTTCTAACAGTATCATGTCTATGCCGTATGTGACGAGACTTTCCGTTATACGTCATGCTCCATGCCCTACCTATTGCATCTTGACTGTGAAAGTGTATGCATACTAATGCCAATGGTTTGGGCCAAAATATAATATCTATCAAGAAATTCCGGAGTCTTTTAACCTATTCACCAACCTTATCTAGAGCACCTAGCTCAAAGATCATTGTAGAGCTAGCGATACATGTCTCTTTTGAAATATTTCAAAGAGACTGCTCCTCTACCAATAGTAAATACATATCCACTCGTGAATTTTACTTCATTCTTCCGATGATTCAATTTGCATCACTATATCTTTCAATATTGTTGGATATTGTTATAATGCAAGACATAGTTTTAAGTATTATTTTAAATACTCCAAAACTCTATTTATTGTCATCTAATGAATTTATTTGGGATCACTTGTGACTGGACTCAGTTTAAAATAACAAATGCTATATCTGATCGCACACACTATATGATATACATCATGCTTCCCAAAAATCTAGCAGAATCCAATTGTGAGTCACTTTTGTTTTCACTCTTTTGAAATGCAAAGCTCACATTTATTGGATACTTGACAATATTGACATTCAAATATTTGAACTAGTTAAGGTCCTTTTCAATGCAATGAGACTGTGAAAATGCTAAACATTATGGAGTTCTACGAATTCTTTTATCTAAGATCGCATTAGCAACTCCAATAATTTTCATTCCACTTGCTTTATAGCATACATTTAGTAGCATTTATGTCATTAGTGTCTCTATTGATGATCAACATATCACCAATATACAAACAAACAATGACCTTATGATTTTTAATGTGAACATATTTATCACTTCCATCATTCTTCAATCCATTTGCCGACATGGTTTGATTGAATTATGTCATTATTTTGGTGCTTCCATAATGTGACTTAACAAGTTCACATACTTACTTTTATTTACCAGGTACCACAAAACCCTCGGGTTGTCCCATGTAAATTTCTTCCTTCAATTCTATATTTAAGAAAGTTTTTTTCACATTCATTTAATGAATTTGGAGGTCATATACCACATTAATAATTTTTTGCATCCGAATGGATGTAATTCTAATTACTAACGAGTATATATATCGACAAGATCAAAATCTTATTATTATTTTTCTAAAGCCTTTGACACAAAGTCTTGCTTTATATTTTTCAACAGTTTCATCAACTGTTATTTTTCCTTCTAGAGATTCATTTTGAACCCAAAGGTTTATTTTCTTTAAGAAGATCAATTAACTTTCAATATTGTTTATTGACACCATCTTTCCAAAGGATGAGTCTACAGAAGACACAGAAAATGTTACAAAATCGTATTCAAAGGAAGTAAATGTCCTTTAACATTTCACTAAGCCTCTAAATCCCTTTATTAAGTACATTATCCTTTTCATTTCCTAGGTCTTTTAGACCCTTCTCTAGACTACTCAAGTCTAAATTTACATTCCACAGTCATAGGTCCTATTTTAATTCTTTTAGGAATATATCTTGGACTTTGACTAGATACGCCCACACTTTCAAATAATTCAAGTTGGATTTCCTTTATTTTCATTTCTTATATAGAAAAGATTGTATTCTGATCAAACAAAATCGCTTTCTTTCTAAAAGGACAAAACTTTTTGTTGATCCCTTTTGCAGTAAGGATAGTTCCTCCACACAAGTTGTGTGTAAACCTAAACTTATAAATAATGCATCCATCATTTCTTTCAACGTTCGGTTTTTCATTAGATTGAGGTGAATATGACAGTAGTTTGATATTTCACTTTCCAAACATATTTCTGCACAATGAGATTTATACTCTCCATTCTTATCACTTCTTATATATTTTTTCACACTGATTTTCAACTTCGATATTACATTGTCTAAACATTTCTATTGCTTCATCCTTACCATTTAGCAAATAGACATAGTCATTTCTAATGCAATTCTCAATAAAAGTACAAATATTTTTTCCCACCATGAGATGGTTTTAACTTCATATCATAAATGTCTGTGTAAATCAATTCTAATGGATTAGAATTCCTTTCAACAGATTTATAAGAATGCTCAACATACTTAGATTCCACAAAAACTTGACATTTTATTTATTGCACTCGAAGTTAGGCAAAACTTCTATGTTGATCAATTTTTCTTACAAGATTTTGTAATTGACATGCCCCAAGTGTTCATGTCACAGACATTGACTCAAGCAAGTAAGAAAGAATAAAAACATTGAGTTTGAAAAGCTCTTCGCGAGGTAGCTTTTTCCTCACTAATATTTTGTTCCTATTTGTTACAATATTGTGCAATACAAACGTTGTTTAGATTGCCAAATATCCTTTTCAGAAGGACATTTCCATAACTTTCAATGTGAATGTTATAGAACTACCTATGAACAAAGTTTCATCGATTTCAATAAAGACAATATAGTCCAATTGTTATTTTTACCAAAACATAAAAAATGACTATTCACCAATATTCATGTCTATGCAAATACTTTTATTATAATAGACATATCTTTTCATGAAAAATCACAACATTTTAAGTGATTTTTTTTCATAAAAGAACACAATTATTTTTAACAAGTATATATATAATTTGGATGTTTCATACTAGTCACACTATATACTAGTGATAGGGAAACTCAACAAACACAATACCAAATATACTCCAAGAATTTTGTGGGTATAACATAATACAAAAGTATCATTGAATTTCATATCTTTTGTTCCAAAGTTAAATTAGACACCAAGTCTAATCATAAGCAAATTAACCCCACATTTGAAATGTGATCTCAAAAATATTTTTCAAGTATTTGAAAATAGTTTTCCACATATTTTAATGTTGGAAACATTATTCTACGAAAGAATTATAGTGTTGTAATTCTCTTTGACAATGTTTACACAATGTCAAAGTTCATTCAATAGAGACACTAAATCACAAATTTTAAGTCACTGGTATTTTTCCTCTATCATAAATAGACATGCCACTTAGTATTTTAAATATTAACAATAAGGACAAAACAAAATTGTACAATTTATTTCTATGTTACATTGAAGTTTATAGAAAATCAAAAGTACAACACTAACTTATTATGTGAAGTTTTCATATTCTTCAAACTAATTGCAGAGTCTAATTTATCCTGAGTATAAAATCACAAAAGTTTTTAGTCTACAAAAATCAGACACACTAACATTTCTCATGGAGTACAAAACTACAAAAGTCTCTTTTTTTTTTCTCCAAACAGAATAACACATATTCTTTATCACATAGAAATGTTTTTCATATCAAATAGTCTTCAAACTATAACAATTTGACATACTATTTTATCAAACAAAAATATGCATCTCTCATTTTTGCAAACTAAAGAATTTTAAAAGCAACAATATCTGCGAAGTAAAAATTCATTCCACAACATAAGGTTTGCAAATCTTTTTCCAAAGATACACATAATCAATAGTTAAAACATTGCAAAATTTAAGCACTTGAAATGGAAAGTGAAAGTACAAAACTTTGATTAGTCAATAATGAGGATGCACTATGCGAAAGCTAAAAAACACAAGCTAATAGTTTAATTTAAAATATGGAAAAGAAGATGTCGAAGAATCTATCACAACCTCAAAGTAGTTTATCCTTAAGTTTGAAGATCACGTTTCCTTCAAGTGAGGTCACGTATCAATCGTCTAAAATATATGTTGCACTCTATAAGAAAAAAGCAAGTACAATATCAAAAAAGACCATATTATACTTGTAGGATTACATATCTAGTTTCAATCATGTTATCAGCTGTAGAGGTGGTTCGTTTGGAGGTGGACTTCCAGATTTTGAGCAGGTCCAGCAACATGACTCCAACATGATGAGAGAGATATTGAATATGCCTCTAGTTCAGGATCTAGTGAATGACCCAGAAATCATTTGCAACTTTATCGTGAACAGTCCTCAAATGTGAGAGTATGTGAATCTTAATCCCGAGCTCCCACACATATTCAATGACCCTGCTATATTTCTCCAGATATGGGAGGTTGCACGTAATGAACTCATGCATGAGACGATAAGAACTATTCAATGGTCATTGAGCCACACTGAATCGTCTCCTGAGGAATTTAACATTCTAAGGCACATGTATGAGAATGTCCAAGAGCCATTTTTGAATGCAACAAGCATGGCTGGAGATACAAGAAATGATTCAGGGACAAACCCGTTCGTGGCTCTTTTGGGAGCCCAGGAACAAGGCAGAAACGAGTCAACTAACCCTCCAGCTACTGGTTCTGACACAACTTCTAATCCTGCTTCTCCAAACTCGAACCCACTTTTGGATCCTTGGGCATCAGCTGACTGTAAGTTTCTAGCAAGTTTGTGGATCTAATTCTATTTGCCGCTAGATTTAACCTTGTTACTTCATCTCCTATCTTGTTCACCAGGGTCTTCTGCATATTAAAAGAAAATTTTTATCTCTTTCCTATTTCTCGTTCTGGAGATGCTTTCATGCATCTTCACTACTTGGGTGCCATGAAGTCATCATACTCATGCAATTTGTGCTTAGAACTTGAACATTTGAACACCTGTTCTCTGTAGCTACTTTTTTTCTTTGTTTTTCTCTGGTAAAAATATTTCAAAGTCAAGCTTAATTTTGTCAGGATTTCTTAAAAATAATTTTATACTTTTAACTATATCAGCTAATGTCTTATGTATGTAGCATTCATTTTCTTGCTTCCCCCCTTCCCCCTTTTTCAACTACTTTTGATAAGCGGGGTATTGTCTTTTTTCTCTATTTTGCAGTTGGAGGTGCCCAAATGAATACCGCTCCCAGATCAAATGCTTCTAGGAATATTTGGGGACCCTCTCCTGGTGGTTTGGATGACATAGCAGATTTGCAGCGAATGCTAGGTGGCATACCTGACGCCTCTTCTGAAAATCAGTTAATTGGATACCCATCCATCTCGCAGATAATGCAGCACATAAACCAGGTATTTATTTATTTAATTTGTACTAAAGCTTACAAAAATTCATCGAGTTTAAGGTTTTATTCTTTTTTCTCCTGGTTTTATTTTTTTGTTGTTTGTGATGGAGAATTTCTTGTCAAGCTTATCATTTCTTGAGTATCTTGGTGGTTAGATTATGGGGCTCGACCCCAACTCTCATCCTGGGGATATGATGCCAAATCCTAAATTAATTCATCAGTTGATGTCCTCTGAGAGGATGCAGGTAAATAATTTTTGCATGCTGTCTTTAAGTTTTGCTTGTTGGAATTGTAAAATGTGTAAGTGGGGCATGCAGTGTGGCAAATCTAGAAAATCGGGTATCACTCTCTTTTTGATACATAGAGGTTAATAATAACTTAGAACTCAATGAGGTAAAAGTTATGTTAGAAATATGTTTAGAGCCTGTTTGGATTGGCTCTGGGCTTTTAGCTTATAAGCCAAAAGTCATACTTTTTTGCCACACTGCATGCTCTACTTAATAGCACTTTTTTGTTTTACACATATACAACAAAAGTGCTTTAAAAATATTTTGGCTTAAAAATACTTAAAATAAGTCAATCCAAACGGGCACTTAGTAGATTTGTCGCAAACTTACACCTAGAGGTAAATAAGTTAAATTACAACTTAAAAAGGTAAAAGTATGACTCCTTCGATTTTCAATTTATTTGTTTGGTTTTGACTTGGCATGAAGTTGTAGAAAGTAAAGAAGTCCTTTGTGTGGTCTTAAACTAAAGATAGGTAGAATTCCATAACATCCTTTAATCTTGTGGTCTTGAACATTTGAAAAGTTAGAACTAAAAGAGTTGTCATAACATGAAAAAGACATTCTTTTTTAAATATACTAACAAAGAAAGTAGGACAAACAAATTGAAATTCAGGGAGTATTAGAAATTTTATTAGTAGAATTGGTGCAGAAAGAGCTTTTGCAGATTGATCTAGTGAGAACTTGAATCAGATTGTTTATAAAGGTAGTGTCTCTATGTGTTGAAAATGTAGATGCGGTCTTAATGGCTTAGTGTAACCATTCTCATTAGTGGTCGTACTGATTACTGAAATGTCACTAAATATTAATGCTGGGCATCAGTAAGGAAAAAAATAAAAACATTTACTATGAAAAACAAAGTAGAAAATAGCAGCAGAAAAAATCAAACAAAAAAATATTGTCTATTTGTTATTCGTTTCTCTTATTAGACACCATTGAACTACTTTCAACACTTGCAATTACTTTTTTAGATTCATTTTCTTACTAATCTAAATAAGCTAAGCTCCGACAATGTTAATTTATCAAAAATAAACTTTACAGATTTTAGTGTCAAGTATGACATGATAAACACTGTCCTTCAAATTTTATTATTTCAATATAGAACTATACTTCAGATTTTATTATTTATGTGTCTACAGACTTTATTGTTCATTGAAACTTATTTCATCATCATTTCATTAAATATTAGAATATTAATATGTCTATTTATTTCTCTTGAACATGATGTATGTTTTTATGTCATATTACTGTTAAGTGTCACTGATTCTTTAAACATGTTTTCTAAGCACAATATAAGACATTCCGGATTGACAATTTTTCATCTATATAATTTAAGAGTCATCATATTGCCCATTTGGAGGTACCAAGGGTTTAAAAGAGAATTCTTTTGATATGTGTCTGGAAATAATTATTTTTTTTATAAAAAAAATTGCGTTTTATTCATCTTCAACAAAAAGACGCGTGATTTTATTCATATGTTTCTGGACATAGAGCATGATGTGTGCATAATTCTTCGGGTATGTTCTTCCTTCATTCCTTTCTATTTTTTACAATCGTTCTTTTTCCTTTTAGGAATATCTGGTACAACAAGGGCTATTTCCTTACCTTGATCAGCCGCAATCAAACCAGTAAGTCTGGACATATATCTATGGATTTTCACTTTGCTGGAGAATCTCACACCTCCTGATTCAGCTGATATGATGATATGCATCTGCTTGTCTCATTATTACTCATTATTTCTTGTCCTACAAGTCACCAAAGGAAAAAGAAATATTACTTCGATTCATATTTCACTTGCCAAAAAATAGTCTAAGCCTTTCTAATTAGGTGGGATAAAAGATAAACTTGTGAGTGGCTCGAGATTTTTACTTTGATTATTTGGATCAATTGGGTAATTTTCTGCCTTGGGTCTATCACTTCTGACAGTATCTTTTCCGCATGCAGAGATCATGATCAGGACGAAGCTGACGAAACAGGTAACATTTCATTCTCTATAATTCCCAATTTGATATCCTTGTAACTGTAAATATACCCTTAGGTTTGGAGGGAATGATCTCTTGATTCAGGAGCAAATAAATCCTCTTACAATATTTTCCAAATGTTACTTAAGTCTAGTATTTTAATGCAAAACTGGCCTATTAGGAACAATACACTTTATATTTTTTTGATGCACATTATTTGTGATGTTTCATATAAATGGACAACTTCTTTGTATTGTTACATCGTATATGAAATTTGAGATTTTACAAGGGCGACAGAACTGATTTGGATTTATACCTGTTAGGAGTTTATTTTTTTGTTAAAAATATTGATTGAAATTTATAGGTTGAGAATGCGGGTTTGGTGGGGATATAGAAGACACAAATTCAGATAAAATATATAAACGTCAGAAATGAACTGTATAAAAGAGTGATATTATTATGAAAATAACGAGATGAGATACAAATTTGTATCCGAAAAAGGTGGTTTATTGTGGGGATCTGTATAATACTATTTTACACTTATGAATAAGCTAAAGAAAGGTTGGATGATGAATGCTTATTTTAGATGATACTCTTTAATTGGTGAAATTAGCGAGAAAGTCAACTGAGGTTGGAACAGTTGGAACTGTGACGAAGAACTCTAGTTTTAGCCTTTTATTTAGGTCAATTAGAAATAAAACAAACTACCTATAAAAAGTAGAAATTTGACAAACTATGTTCACTGCAAGTTATAATAAGATCAGTCGAATGAGATCACTAGATGAGATAGTGGTGCCCAAATGTAGAGAGTGGAAATATTTGCTCTCATATTTGAGGAGAATGATATGATTGATGAAGATGTTACACAAGCTAAAAGAGGATTGTGGAAACGGATGAGTGCTAAGACAGTTGTGTTATACGTGAACGCTTAACAAAGTCAAACATAAGTTGTATGCAACGGCAGCGAGATCAGAGATGTTATATGGGAGTGATTGCGAGTAATGTAAATCCATGTGTTTCCACAAGATGAATTTCCTAAAAATTGTGTGGATATATAGTCATATGGGGTCATTAAGATTAGAATTATCACATCTGACCCAAAAAACACATGATAAGAAGAGAGTCTGGCTTTCTATGTCCTATGTAGACCTCCACATGC